AATAAATATGCTTTAGAAATAATTTAAGTATTGATAATATGTTTGATAAACAACGTAAGAAAGGAAATAATTATTATACTAAGCCAGGCGCTAAAGATACTATAAAATTATCTGAGCTAATATTATACATTAGAGATCATAATGGATTTAAATCGTATTCATTATCTGATGTACTTCATTTACCATCTGATTTGTCAGATTATGTAGATAATAATTTAGAATCATTAGAATATTTAGATTATGAGTAAAGATATTAAATTAGAGTCGAAAAATAAGAAATTTAAACAAAAAATACTACCAACATATTATTATGCTGATTTTGAAGCTTCAACACAAAGAATTCATCAAGCTTATTGTGTGTCTTATTCTAAACGTAATTCTAATCAAATATGTAATAAATATGGTAATAAATGTGTAGAAGAATTTTTAAATGAACTTAACGATAATTCTGTAATATACTTTCATAATTTGAAGTATGATTCTTGCTTCCTTGCTGAATATGGTATTAACAAATGTATTAAGAAGGATGGAAAAACAATGAAGATGAATTTGATATATAATAAGAAGAAAATAACATTTAAAGATAGTTATTCTATGATTAGTACAGCATTAAATCAATTTCCAAAGATGTTTGGGTTAAGAAATCTTCAAAAAGAGTTATATCCATACAACTACTATACTCAAGAACGTATTCAAAATAATATTGGAACTATATCAGAAGCAGGTAAATATGAGATACAAAAATGGACTGAAGCCGAATATAAACTATTTAATGAAAATATTGATAAAATAGAAAGTTGTAAAATTGATGAAAATCATTTTAATATGATGTTGTATTGTAAATTTTACTGTAATCAAGATGTAAGAATATTAAAAGAAGGACATACTCAATTTAGAATTGATAATTTATCTAGTTTAAATATAGATGTAGATAAATTCATTAGTATTTCTGCATTAGCTAACAACTATTTTACAACACATGTTTACTCAAAAATTAAAGATCTTAAACAATATAGTGGTAAAGTTAGAGAATACATTCAAGGTACAGTATATGGAGGAAGATGTATGGCAAGAGACAATAAAAAATGGCATGTAAGAGATGAATTATATGATTATGATGCTTGTTCTCTATATCCTAGTGCTATTCATAGATTAAAGTTAGCAACAGGAAAACCTATTTTAATACCAAAGAATTTACTCAATTCAACTATATTAAATCACATAATGTTAGAACAACAATTGGAACCTACAAATGAACGTTATATATTAGCTTTTATAGTTGATATCGAAATTACTAAGATAAATTAGGAACTACGCTTTCCTATAATTACTAAGAAGACTAAGAAAGGAAATTTAAATGTAAATGAATGTTGTAATATGCGTGTTGAAAAATCATGTTAGGAGATTTAATTAAATTTCAGCAAATAGAATATAACATTACAAGAGGATATATGTGGATAGGGTTAAATCAGATGTATTTAGTAAAGAGATTGAGAAAATATATAATATGAGAGCACAATTAAAGAAAGAAGGTAATCCATTACAAAATAACTATAAATTATTGATGAATAGTAGTTATGGTAAAACAATTCAGAAGCCAATTACTAATGAATTAGTGTATAAACAAATTAATAACAACGGTAAACATGATGCTGACAGATATCTTAAGAAGAACTTTACATTAGTTAAATCTATGTATGATGTAAGTAAAAACATTAGATGCTTCGAAACTAACAAGTCGTTTGATGATTTTTGTGTACCTAACTTAATTGGTGTTCAAATATTAAGTATGAGTAAACGTATAATGAATGAAGTAATGTGTTTAGCAGAAGATTTAGATATTCCTATATATTATCAAGATACTGATTCTATACATATTGTAAAGTCTAGAATTGAAGAATTAGAAGAAATATATGAAAAAACATTAAGAGGAACTAATTTAGAACAGTTTCATCCTGATTTCGATGAATTATCTGGAGATGTTTACAGTAAAGAATCTTACTTTTTAGGTAAAAAAGCATATTGTGATGTATTAACAAATGAGAAAGGAGAATGTGCTTATCATTTAAGATTAAAAGGTATTCCTAATAATCTTCTCAATAATAAAATAGATCCGGTAGAATTATATAAAAGACTATATAATGGAGAGAAGTACGAATTTAACTTATTAGAGCTTAGACCAAGCTTCAAATTTGATAAACAATTTAATATTAAAACAAGAGAGTATTTCACCAGAAATATTTCGTTTTAAAGTTAGTTATATGTCTGCCAACATAATATTAACAAAAGATTTATTAGAGTTTTAGTTTTAGTCAGTCTATTTCATACGGAATAAAACCAAAAATAATTGTCCCAAAAGTAATAATATACTTTCGGAACATCTGAAAGGATCTCAGTTATTCTCAAATAATCTTATTTAAATGTAGTTATCAAAACAGTTATTAGTAATTTCTTCATTAAAATCGAAATTTATTTTTCTGGTATTATCGGATTTGTATTGTGACAATAGTTTCTTACTAAAAGTTATGCCTTTGTTATTATTATCTTTAATACAGTAACGAACCCACTTATCACTAAATTGACTTGTTCTGGGAACTAATAATCTAACAGTGTCATTCTTGATTTGAAATAATTCTTCTGTATCAGGTTGATAATATAAATCAACTTCGTGATTATTAATGTTTTCAACATGTTTACACTTTTCTTTTATAGTGTTAATAATAGCTTTCATTAAAAAGGATGATTCCATTTATAATATATAAAAAAAATTATCACTTTGTAATTATTTGAAAAATATAATATAATCTATTTACAACGATTTTAACATATATTGTGATGAGAGAGGATGCGAGAGAAGCGAGTGTCCGAAATCGGCACAATATATATACTACTAAGTTTTTTGTTTCAAAAAATTATTGGATTATTAAACTATTAAATTATAATTAATTATATTAACATTTGTGCTGTTTTTTACACAAAATACCTTGAAATTTTATTGTAATTATATACTATTACAGTATGTGAGAAAAGTATGTGAAAATGAGAAAAACCTGTGGATTCAATAAAAATTACATATTTGTTTTTCTTTTTTTAAATAAAAATATTTTTCTTTAAAAAAACAATCTAAATAATATAATTATGAGCTCCAAGATTGTTGCTTTTAGTGTCTTGGACCATACAACACTGGAAGAGAATCTAAAGTATTGTCCTGGCCCAGTGAAAGAAATAGCCCAAAGAACATTCAGCAAACATTGCAACTTTTCTGAATTACCCCTGAATGTTCAGGTGTATTTGATGAACATTGAGAGAGAAATGTTCGATGGAATGAATACGGAAAAGGTGGCCGAGAGTAAACTATGTAGAGTCTTTGCTTTATCTTCAAGTCAGTTTAATATCAACAAACGAAGAGGTATGGAGACGGCATTGTTTGGAAAAAAAGATAACGGACGACCTTCATTTTTAACCGAAACACAATGGGGAATTGTCAAGAATTTGATTCTTGATAATGAAAAGTTTCCAGGAAAATGCAAAGCTATCAGCATAACTTATTTGAGGTTGTTTATAATAAAAACCTTCAACGTTGATGTGTCAAACCACGTTATTTATGATAAAATACACAAAAATTGGAACTTCTTGATTGTGACTGTGTTTTCTGAAGACCAATCTCGATTGATCTACGACGAAGATGCCGTGTTGAAGTATTACATTGCGCTGCCACTTTTTTAAATGGCATCCCATCACCATTTATTATGAATTTGGATGAGTCGGGGTATCAGCCATGGCCAGACAGGCAAATGGTGAAGGGAGTATTCACTGCTGGTTTTTCCACAGACAGTAAAATGAAATATGGAGTCGAACGTGACATTGCTCGATCCACTGTCGTTTGCACTATTACCCCCTCACAACCTCTTCCTTGTGTGATTGTAACAAAATACAAAAGAGTTGCAGTTGAATTCTTGAAATTGGGTTGGCTGGAAACGGGAAACATCGTCAGTTATAGCAAAAACGGTTATATCAACAGTGAATTATTTATACAATACATCAACTACGTTGTAGTACCTTATATTGTCGACATGAGAATTAAGACTGGTTATATTGATAAGGCCGTGCTGATATTTGATCAGTGCACGTGTCACTCAATTGAAGATGTGAGGTTGCTGCTCAAGTCAATTGTCCAAGTCAACGATCATCAATGTGAACTGTGAAATAGTATGTTTGGTGCCTCACACCTCACATTTAACACAACCATTAGATGTTGGGGTGTTCGCAGTCCAAAAAAGAAGACTGAATTCGTTGTATGCGAAGTTTACAACAAGAAAAGTTTAACTTGTTTTCAATATCTAGTTTAATATAATATATGAACTTAAATACAACATTTAAGTCTAAATATAATCAGTTGATTTATAGAAACAAATTTAAATATTAGAACATTGTCGAATAAACACATAAAACGGTATAATCATCAAAAATATTTAAATCCCATTTATCCGTATGGAAAATGAATCGATCTCACGTGAAGGATTTAAAGTGTGAAACTAAAATTAATTATAATTTTAATAATGGCATATTGTATACAATTTCATGGTTCAGTTTCAAATAAAAGCGTCTTGATATCTTAATTATATTTTTTGTTCAGTTCGTAAGTTTTATTATTTCGAGTTGAAATAAAAAGATAACTAATAATATAAAATTGTTTTTAATAAATTATAGTTGATTTAATCGAGCCGCACTTTTTAATAGCTGTTCGGCGACTTTACAGTCCCTTTGAAAATCGCCGACTTTATAGTGGTCTTAAAAGTCGCTGACCTAAATATTTAGTTAAATAACTATTCAAGATACCATTTATCATGTTAAAGATATTGAAAATAATAAACCATATAAATTTAATATAATTATTATTAAAAATAGAAATGAAAAAATACAGTCCCAATTATATCTTCTCAAATCATTTTTTGAATTATATTTATATGATTATAATATAACAAATTATAACAACTATTGTGTTCGGGGTCGCCGTTTTAATACTTTTTGGCGCGTTGAGGTTTGGATTAATTGGCAATTTAATAATTTCTGTGAATTAAAATATCAAATAATACATAATAATAAAATTGCCTATTAAACCAGTTTTGATTGAGAAAAAAATAAAATTACACATTTTTGGGATTTATTTATAAACTTTTCCCAAAAAACCATTTTATAAATAATTATTTAAAGTTCCCATTATTACAATTTGAAAAATAAAAATACAATTAAAAAAATTACCTTTTCATAATAAACACGCACAATCAAACATTTATTTCGAAAATAAAATAAATGGGAATAAAAAAAATAAACGGCGAAACGATAAAATTGACAAACAAAAAACAACAACTTTTCATAATCAATTCAACTAATTTATCAAATTGGGGCGTAAGTGTTGTATTCGCTATGATCATCATTGCCCTCAATATATCATCTGACAATTGGCTTCTGAAATTAATTTTTATTAAAGAAAGTGCGGAAAATCCTTGTTCACATGAATATGAAGTCATAAACAACGACAAAGATCTTGCTGCTAAAATGGAAAGTCTTGGATAATTAACAATAAATGTTTGTTTGAGGTATTCATCGTTGAATATCTCATTTATTGACATTCTAATGGTGTAATAACAATCGGGATGTGTCATTGGATTATAAATATGTTGTTTTAATCGTTCAGTAAAACAAATTGATTCACTTTCAACTGGTTGTTTTTCCACAACAGGTTCGGTTTGTGGTCTGACAACGTTCTTATTGATAAACATTTTATCACAAGAAAAAAGTTCAACTTCGTTTCTTATTTCGTAATTGTGTTCATTGACAAAAAGTTGAGTAATGCACGTCATATTAAGGAAGTTGTCCATAAATGAAAGTTGATCTATTTCTATAAACCTTGAAGCCAACTTTCTTTCATAGTTATAATAGCTGCAAAATGTATAGGAAT